CTATTGAGTTTATCACAAACTTTATAAACTAGTTTGAAAATCGCAAACTACAGGCGCTATAAACACCCCACAGCTACTCATGCTATCGGGTGTGGGACCGGCCCGACACCTGCGCGAGCTGTCCATACCGGTGGTGGCGGACCTATCGGTAGGACAGGGCCTACAAAATCACGTCCGCACCGATATATACGGCCTCATCCGAGACGAGCGTTTGGTGACTGTTAGCCGACAACTGGACGCCAGCGCTCTAACCACTGACAACCAGTACCAGTACTTTACGTCGGGCGCCGGACCGCTAACCCTATACTATAACGCCATGACATACATGTCCACTGACACCAATCCGGACAAAGACTGGCCAAACATATCGGTGGAGACACGGCTACGGTTGGCGCCGACAGAGCCGTCACAGATGGCACAGGCCTACGAACGAGTGGCCGAATGGGCCGACTATTACCATAACTACACGGGCCGACACTACCTGCAAATGATGCCCATGTTACAACGTGTGCGGAGCCGTGGGTCACTCTACCTGCGCAGAGCCGATCCGCACGATTACCCCGTATTTAGTCCACAGTTTTTGACTGAGCGCCGGGACTTTGACGACTTTGTCCATGTGGTCAGTTGGGCACTCTATTTGGCTGAACGGTCACCGTTGGCCCAGTATATAGAGCCCGTACAGCCTGTGCCCGGCTGTCACCGGTGCCCCCAAAGGCAATACCTGTACGAGTGTTACGATTATATAGTTTGTCACGTGAATCAAACGGTGTATAGCGTGTATCACGATTCGGGCACTTGTCGTATGGGTGCTGCCGATAGACCCGATGTGGTGGTCGATCCCAGTCTGAAGGTTAAGGGCCTAAATGGGCTCCGGGTGTGCGACGCCTCAGTTATGCCACAATTGCCTAATAGTAATACTAATTCGGCGGCGATTATGATTGGCGAGAAGTGCTCGCAAATGGTGATAGATGATCATTTTATTTACCGTAAAATCGTGGCTATTACCCGCAGTCGCGTATAACCCGCACAAACAAAAAGTGTGAATATTTTAAAATAAAAAGCAATTTACAGATAACCCGCACTTTACGTATAACCCGCAAAAATTTTATACTGTAGTTTAAAACCTGTTTGTGTTGACAAACAAAACAACGTGTTTTTGAAATATATGGTTAACACACTATTAAACTCCATTTTTGTATTTAACAATTTGTAGTTTTTTTGGATTTTTAATTTGTAATTTTTAATACATCACATAACCCGCACTTTGCAGATAACCCGCACTCAAAATTTTTCAGTTATTTTCCAAAAATATGACCTTTTTCATCAGATAACCCGCGGGTAATAGCCACGATTTTACGGTACTATAATTTCGAAAATATGGTTAATTTTGAAAGAATATTTATGAAAACAAATTGATGATTATACACGTATAAAGTATAGTTAATTCATGTTTGAATACACCAGAGTTTATTAAATTTGCATTACAAATGCCTGATCTACAATAATTTAAAAATTGAAAATATGGTGCCTTAAAAAGCTGAATTTTTGTTTAATCAAGCTTCTTAGTGAATACAATAACTTTCAATAGCAGGAAAATAAAGTTCATTTAATACTCTAATAATATAAAATGTGTTGAATTTTCAAACTTATTAAATTTTCATATAAATTAAAATTTAAAGTTTTATTACATGCAATAGTACTAAATATAATATACACCCTGTATATATTTTAAGTACATCAGTGCCCCAACAACAGTGAATTAAGATAATTTAAGGGCAGATACAGATATCTGTATTCATACCATAATGGTCAAATTGAATACATATTTTAATAACTGTATAGCGTGTAAACATTATATTACTTAAATTCTTATATTTTTAGTGTATTCTCATAATTAGCGTTAGGCAAAGGGGTGAACATAATGGGGGGAAAGCAAAATTAAGGATTCGAAAATAAATTCAATATTTTTAAACTAATAATTTATTTAAAAATCAAATATTTTAAGAAAATAAGTTATATTTTGTGGTGAATGTAGATCCGCGCGATCGCCAGCTATCTTAACCACAAGTAGTGGACAATAAAGGGTAATATAAAGGGTATTACTAATATAAGAATAGAAAAAGAAATTCCTTCGAAGTGTACTGCGAATAATACACATAGAGAGAGTCTTATATAGTCTCAATGTATGAAATAAAGGTAACTACAAATGAGTACATAAGTGTATGAATCGTATGATTATGATGTGTTCGAAGGGTCTGCTGATTGGATAAGTAACCCATCATATTCATGATGACTACTCACTAGAAAATCACCATAAAAATAACTACAAATGAGTACATACGTAGAATAATCGGAATGATTATGACATTAAGATAGATTCAGGGCCGACCTATTCTCGACATGTTTAACAGTGGTGTGAGTCTAGCGGTGGCCGCCATTTCCGACGGCCTGCCTATTGTAGTCATAGTTACGCTGGCGTTGGTTGTAATGAGAATAGCTTATAAGAAAGCCGTTGTCAAGCGTCTGCCAACCGTTGAGACGTTAGGTTGTGTGGACACCATTTGTTCGGACAAAACCAGAACATTCATTAAGAATGAGATGACTGTCACCGCAATCGTCACGTCAGAGCTATATAGGGTGGACGTGAGTGGCGTCGGGTAAACCGGGAGCGAAGAAATCATTCTGAACGAAGACATCGAGTCTTATAAGCAACAAATGGACACAACGAAGAGGTTAATAGAGGTNCATCTGTGACGGCTCTGTCGGCGCCAACCGTAGCCGTGTCTCCACCGATATGTTTGGCCAGTCTTTGTCCGGATTGGTGTCGGTGGACATGTATGTCATGGCGTTATAGTATAGGGTTAGGGGTCCGGCGCCTGACGTAAAGTACTGGTACTGGTTGTCAGTGGTTAGAGCGCTGGCGTCCAGTTGTCGGCTAACTGTCACCAAACGCTCGTCTCGGATGAGACCGTATATATCGGTGCGGACGTGATTTTGTAGGCCCTGTCCTACCGGTAGGTCCGCCACCACCGGTATGGACAGCTCCTGCAGGTGTCGGGCCGGTCCCACACCCGACAGCATCAGTAGCTGCGGTGTGTTTATAGCGCCTGTAGTTTGCGATTTTCAAACTAATTTATAAAGTTTATGACAAACAATAGTCATGAGTACATTACCGGCCGAAACAATCACCTCCCGGCGCGCACTCACCACATGTCGCACGCCTTTCCTAATGTACTCAACGCCGGTAGCCGTGCGACCGGTGAACAGCACCCGCACGACCAGCGCGTCGGCCAACACAACGAGATTATTCGGGTGCCTATTGGGGTCGATATAAGCGTTTGAAACACTAGACCGGCGGCCACTGCCGGTGATAAACGCCTGGACAATGGCAGTGCCCACCTGTACCGGCCCATTAATATCGGTGACCCGGTGGCCCATGCTCTGTATAGTTTTGTGGTATATCTTGATAATAGGATCAGGTTCAGTCCAGGTGCTGACCTGCACCGGACCCTGAGTGCCGTGATATCCCGGATTAGCCGTCACTATATCTCTGTCGGTGTTGTTTTCCCAGAGCTTAAAATAGGGTAATACAGAGGCGTAGTCCCAGCCAACGGCCCCATACTCTCGGGCCCAGTGATCGTAGTCAAGTCGATTACCACGATTGTATACCATGGAGTTGATCTGCGACGTGCCACCAACGCCCTTGCCACTAATAAATTATGTGATCATGTTAATGTTGTTTTTAGATTATAAAAATATTGCTGTACTTAATTAAATTGTTAATTCGTGTGCTTATTAATACCATGTGCTCATATGTGTACCACTTTTTATGCTAGATTAGATTAATTTATATTTGTAATTTATCAAGCTCATATTGAAACAACAAAACAACAAAACTAATTATAGCTAATCACTAGCTGTAGTTTAATGTCAATTAAACTTAAAGTACATAATATAATTTTATGAGTATTATACTTTTAAAATTTTGAAAAACCTACCGGTGCTCTGGAATGACCCGGTTCTTCCAGCCTACGCCTACCCCGGGCTGCGGGGCATTAGTATAGTTCCAGTTAAAGGGGGAGTTGACCACCAGATTGCCCATCGCTGGCATATCGTTGACTAGACTGGCGGACCCGCCGGCCTCCAGACACAGTACCTTAACATTAGGCATAGAGCTGAGTCGTGCGGCCACCACCGACCCGGCCGAGCCCGAGCCCACCACAATAAAGTCATACACGTCTAGTATTTGATCACGTTTTACACTAGATTTGTGTTTGAAATCATTATTTAATGTTAATATTGCGACAGTAATTAGTTTTAATGATAAACTAATTGTCATTTTTATGCGATTTTTTTGTATTTACGTAAATAATGTGTTAGTTTTTAAACTTAAACACACTTGCGACTAATTAGTGCTAACATTTAGGTCAAATTAACTATTTTAATCGCATGTTTATCATTTAAAAACAGCTGATCTTATTATATGTATTAAATTAACTTAAGATAACAAAAACAACAAAAATTTTATATTTAAAAGTAAATTTTTAATTAAATCTAAATTTCAAATATGTTTTTATTAATATATAAAGTTATAATCAAAATAATGATTTTAATTAACTTATAATTAATTTATTTATTTAAAACCAAAGTTTTGAAACTTTATTTTAAATATTGGCACAAATTGTGCGAAAACACAAATCGCGTGTATTGTATGTAAGTTTACATCTTTGTATTGACTGACTGTATGTGTTGTAAGTTTGGGTCTTAAATATGGTAACAATTTGATGTCCAGTTTATTCTGGGAATGTGTGTACAGTATGTGTATAATTGTCGGCAGTGTTTGTGTTTAACATTCTGGTAGTGAAAATAAGATTAACTTATTTTAATATAGCCTTAAATTCAAATGAATTAATTTCACAAAATAATAAAATATAAATAATAGGTTAAATGTCATTTTATCTTTACAAATATAGTTATTATTTATAAATAAAGTAATAACTAGTGTTTTATTTAAAATTACATTTCTCTGTTTGCAAACTAAACTTAACATAAATTTGAATAAATAAATAAAATAATGTTGTCAAAAGTTATCCAAATAATAATTAATGAAAAACATTTACATAAAAATAGAAAAATTTTTATTTAATGAATATCTAAATGAAATATAACATTGAAATAATACTAAAAGAATGGGAAACAAAATGTATAACATACATGTATAACTTTGTGTGAATTATTTAATCTTGGATTTAGTCGGCGATTGTTTGGTGTCTTTGATTATTGACGACAAATGGCTGTCAATATTCATATCAGTCATTACAGACTGCGAGCCAATTGTCTTGTTAACCGATTGTCTTCTTTTCTGGATTATCATCACCACAACTGATCCAAAGAGTATGACTGCGATTATAAATAGTATTACTAACATAATGATCAGTTGTATCGCATTATCATTTGTATAAAAACAGTGCTTTAAATACGAAGTCATTTTCTCTGCGATTTTGCACTAAAAACGAAAATTAATTAATTAACAAATAAAATAAATTATATTTTGTTTTTATTAAACAAATACCTCTTCGGACAGAGCTTTACCCGCGGGTGTGAAGCAATAGTGCGGTCGACCGGCGATGTTATACCACAGCATATGTCCGGACTCTCCGCCAGCAAAATCATAGTCAACAATACCCTCGAGTTGTTTGAGTAAGTGATCGGGTATTTGATCCACAAATGCTGGTCTTCGGCACTGATCCGGTTTAGCGCAATCACTTTCATTAGTGTAATACAGTTTCCCCAAATTATTATATAACACCCGTACCGACCGGTCGTTGGTATTGAGCGCTATATTGTATGGATTGGGACGCTTTAGGGTTGCAATTGTCGGCACAAATATCACTGAATTGCTGTCGTATTGATGGTTAGTATCGTTAGTATGAAATAATTCTCTATCATTTCGCGCATTCGCACATTCAGTATATATAGTGGTTTGGTTGTTGTACTAGTAATAGATAGAAACATCCACGGTTAATTCAATACTCTCTCTCTCTCTCTCTCTCTCT